CCCAAGTCCACTGTGAAGTCTGGGATCCAGAGGGCTGAAGAGACGTCTTTAGACTAGAGTTGAGTTGTCAGGAAGTTTCTGGGGCTATTATTTTGGATCCTGAACATCTCTAGATTCATCCAGCCTCCAATAATACACTTGTGGAGGGTGACTGCCTGTCAAAATGCATGAGAGTCCAAAGAATTTCATATCCAAAACTATTGGAAAAATATTGGGAAAATATTGCTAGCTCACAGACTGAATTTAAATCCTAAAATTCTCCAGTTCTGTGGGGCTGCCAACCTCTCTCTCTCTCTCTCTCTCTCTCTCTGTATTTGTTTCTTGCAGGAGGTTGAGTTCAGTACTCATCAAGCTGCAGTTAACCCCCACAGGCTAAGGAATATGACAACTGCATGTCCTTTTGGGGAGAACATTCAAAAACACTGCAGATCATAATAGTTGTATTTGTATGTGTGTGGAGAGGTTCCAGACAAATCCACAAATCGCAAACATTACAACGAGAGTCAGGCCCAAGATGCAAAATTTGGATGCAGTTCCAAACTTCTCCATAGTGTTGGGATGGGAGTGTTCACCTCTTAGCCTATGGTTTGGCTGAATCTATAATTTCAACTAAATATAATTCTAAAATATGACAGGTTTCAGAGTAGCAGCCGTGTTAGTCTGTATCCACAAAAAGAACAGGAGTACTTGTGGCACTTTAGAGACTAACAAATTTATTTGAGCATCAGCTTTCGTGGGCTACAGCCCACTTCATCGGATGCATAGAATGGAACATATAGTGAGGAGATATATATACACATACAGAGAACATGAAAAGGTGGGAGTTGCCCTACCAATCCTAAGAGGCTAATTAATTAAGATGAGATATTATCAGCAGGAGAAAAAAAACTTTTGTAGTGATAATCAAGATAGCCCATATCACACAGTTTGACAAGAGGTAAGAGGATACTTAACATGGGGATATAGATTCAATGTATGTAATGGCTCAGCTATTCCCAGTCTCTATTTAAGCCTAAATTGATGTTATCTAGTTTGCATATTAATTCAAGTTCAGCAGTTTCTCGTTGGAGTCTGTTTTTGAAGCTTTTCTGTTGCAAAATTGCCACCTTTAAGTCTGTTACTGAGTGACCAGAGAGACTGAAGTGATCTCCTACTGGTTTCTGAATGTTATGGTTCCTGATGTCAGATTTGTGTCCATTTATTCTTTTGCGTAGAGACTGTGACAGTGCCTCCTACAAAGTGGGACGAAGTCTTTTGCCAGAATGTGGGAATATTTACACTCCATTGCACAAAAAGGGATGCACACGGGACTATACAGTTTTGAGATGCATTTGAAGGCACCCAACACACATTAGGATAGGGAGACGCAAAAAGCGGCTCTGTCATTTCCTGCCTCCATTGGTAGTCAATCCTGATGCTTTAGAGGGTGATTTTTGCCCTCCCCACTCACCCTATAATGCTCCCAGACAATTGTGAAAGGCCATACATTATCTGAAGATATGAGAAGGGGAGACCATTGAAAGTCTTCAGGGTATGTCTAAAGTGCAGCTGAACACAACACTCCTACCCCTGGCAGACACTCAAGATAGCGGATGTGGAGTTAGCTTGCTAAAAACAGCAGCATGGGGGTTGCAACTCAAGGCCCTGGATCTGAGCTTGAGTGGCTAGCCAGAAGTTCTGCCAGAGCTGCCACCTCCCCCTCTAAACAGCGCCGCCCCCCCC